AATTATATAATAAATATAATTTATATAATAAAATATAATTATATATTATAAATTATATATAAATTTATATAAATTTATATGTTATAAAATTTCTTGAAAAATTTTGAAAAACAAATTATTCTACAAATGTTATTTCTATTATTATTTTATAATCATAAAAAATGATACCAACGTATTTTTTTTCTTTTTCTTCTTCACTTATAGAGAAAAAAATATAGTAACCTCTGCAATTACCGAAAATTGCGTCACTTCAGAGGAAATATAATATCATAATATCGTTTTTGTGAAGATTGAACCTGAGATTCACGCCAAAAATAAAAAAGAAAGAAGGAAAAAAAGCAACAGAATATGACGAAATGTTTTCGTGAATGTACCACAAATTTATCTAACAAATTATAATCCAGAATTGTGCACATTTTATTCAAAATAAAATAACAAATAATAATTTATTATAATAAATTATTAAATTTAATATTTTATTATTTTTATTTTACAAATTGCATACGAATAGTAATTGTATTTCTTACTAAATAAAGATAAATTATTATCAAATAATTTTTTAATTTAAGTTCATTCAAATAAATTAATAAATATAAATTGCTATGAGATTGTAATATATAGATTATAATTATAATAGAGATTACCTGTTATTTTATTTAAATGATATAGAGATTATCTGTTGTTTTTACTGCTATAAATTTGATTACATAAAATGATCATCTTTCGAATACTTTATTTCTATGATATTTAAATTTGAAATAAAATAACAATAGTAAGATTTTTTTCTTTTTTTAAAAAATAAAAATCTTTTATAAAATAAAAAAAAAGAAATATAAAATTATTAATTGGATAAAAATAATAAAAATAAATAAATAATAAATGTATTTCAAATAAATATAATATATGTTCTATTTAAATCAATGCACTTAAATATCTGCCAAATCATTGATATAATAATTGATATAACAAAAATAAAAATTAAATATTTTCAAAATATACAATTCGATAATTAATTTTTTTATAGATGGATATATGGATGACATTTCTTCTTTTTTCTTTTTTTAAATTAAATAATATATTTTTTATGTCAAATTATATTATGTCCTTTGAAAATATTCAATTTTAATTTTTATTCTCAATGGTTTGGCAGATATTAATAAATCGATTTAAATAGGATATTTATATATATATATATACATAGAAGCAGATTGATTTAATTATTAATTCAGCTAATTATAATATATGTCTTTATGCAATATTCTCTTTAACATACCGTTGATCCAATTTCGCTGTAACAATAAAATTCTCACTGATTGTTGTTCATATTAATCTTTATCGTCACAATATAATTTGTTACTCCACAATTCAAATTCTATAATGTATCTTCTATAATGTATATGGATGCAAGACATCAATTCAATAAATTTCAATTCAGAGGTTATGAAAGGAATAAATAATTTTTAATTAACTTTGATTTTATTATTTTTGTTTGTCTAAACAAAAATGTGGAGAGTTCGATGAGACAATATTGCATTTAATTCCATTTTGAATTATTTAAGCATAGAAATAAAGAATAGACTTTTTACATTTTTTATTCTGAATAAAAAATTTGGAAAAGTTTTTAAATGTTTTTTAGAGTAAAAATACATTAAAACTTTCAAGAGTTACTCTTTTCTATTTTTATAATATTAATGCATTGACATAATTATTATTCTATAACTTTTTCAAAGTTTTTTCGGAGTATATCATATTATAGTTCAAAATAATGGATTCTTTTGTGCAAAAAAAGAATCTTTAAGTTTTTATTTTTTTTTTATTAAGTTTATATATTTTTAAATCTAGAATTTACAAGAAAAAGTCTAAAAAAATTTCTTAATTTATATTATTTATAAAATTTCACATATTATTGAGTTTATAATAAGAATTTTTTCGGAATTTTCATTGTAATTCTTTTTCCAATTAAAATTGAGTTGAAATTTGCTTTGAAATGTTTTTATTTTTTTGTAATCTATCAAATCATTAAATAAATTTTCTTCAAATATTTTTCTTATTCTGATTATATTCTTTAATTTTAATTATTAATCTTATAATATTATTCTACATTGAGTATCATATGTTATGATATCAAAAACGATAAATTTTTTTCTATGAAAAAAGAAGCCTTTTATGAGAGGTTACATATATATGTATATCTTATTCATAATAAAATTTCAATCAAATAAGAATTAGAATCTTCATCGAGCTTACTTACTTGCTAAGGCAAATTTTTTTTTGCAGATTCAGTCGGTATAGGGGCTAAAAATTGCTTACTCTGCAAATCGCCATCTTTTTTGTTCGACTTCTGATTTTCAGCTTAAATAAAAAGGCATCGAAAATTACTTCTAATTTTATCAATTACGAGACAATTTTACTTTAATTGATTACAGTCCTATAATCTGGGTTTCTCAATACCAAGAGATGCGCATTAAGGAAAACAGGAAGGATCACGACGCAAGGAATTTGGTTCCGGTTTGTCTAACAACGGTCGATACTAATGCCAGCATGATATTCTTTTTACTTTTGGTGCTTCTATTCTATCTTGCACCATTAATAATCTTGTTGATTTTATATACGTTCATCATCAGACAATTGATGCCCAATTCCAATAATATCAGCGATTCTTATCATATTAAAACGAAAAAACATGTAATTATTATGCTATTAACGGTAGTTGTTAGCTTCTTCATCTGTTTATCACCTTATAGGATTCTGATCTTTTATATTGTTATTTCTCCAGCTGAAAAAATTGCCACCATTAATCGAGATACGTTTTTTGTACTTCTTAATATGAGTAGGATTATGATTTACTTACATAGTGCTATTGATCCTATATTATATAATTTAATGAGTAGTAAGTTTAGAAAGGAATTTTTTAAATTATGTAAAATGAAGAAGTGCAAAAGTAAAGAAATGAGAAACAATGTGACTGGAATGAGGAAAATGTACATTAGTGAACAAGAAGAAAATTTTGTGTGATGTTATTTCTTATATTCTCCCTCTCTCTCTCTCTCTCTCTATATATATATATATTATATATACTATATATAAATATATATATATATTTTTTATTGTAAATTCAATGTAAATCAAAAATTCAAAGTGATTTCAATGAATAAAAATTTAATTAACAATTAATATTTTAGTTAAAATTCATATGAAAGAAAATTTCTAATAAAAATCTGCATTATCTAAGAAATTCACAGAAAAACAGAATCTTCAAGAAATGTGTCAAAAACAAATATTTAAAATAAAAAAAAATGTTAAAATTAAAAATAAGAAATTATTAATGTATTTATTATCGTGTAATCGATAGCATTGCCTCTAATTTCGAATATGGTTATTAAATTAATTTAAAACTTTAAGTTTTAAGAAACCAAAAATACAAAAAAAATATTACAAAGCAAATATCGACTCTATCTACATCTATCTATGATTATCTAAAAATAATCTAAAAATAAAATTACATTAGAAAATCTAATCTATAGTAATCTATAGTAAAAAATCTAATCTAGATTATAGAAAATTTAGAAAATGCAATAAGAGGAAATATGTAAAAAAAGATGAAAAAAAAGTTTTTATATTTTCTTTCTTTTTTTATCGAACATTTATGAAGAAAGATACTGCTATTCAAAAAAAAATTGTTTTAAATTCATTACTAGAATTAATAATATAACGCATTACAAATATTCAAAAAAGTTATAAAAAATTTACAAAAAATATAATAAATCATTATTCAAAAATTTTATTATCCTATAGTTATTATTATTTTAATACAATAATTAATATAGTAATTATGAATTATATAAAAATTATAAACATACCAAAAAAAACATGCAAAAGTATTTACATGTTTTTTTTTTTAAATTATCATTATAGTATCTATTGAAACTCCTTTGTTTATTTAAATTAATTTCGGCAAAAAAAAATAAAATCTTTAAAATAAATGTATAAAATATATAAGATTAAACTAATTGTATTAAAATAATATGATAAATAATAATATAATAATATCATAATAAATCTAGTATAAATTTTATTTTAGAAACTTATAATATTTATAACTAATAAAATATATATTAATATAATACTATAAATATATAATACTATAATATAATATTAATACTAATATAATATATATAATACTAATAAAATATATATTAATAAAATATATATAACTATAAAAGATAATTCTAATAATCAAATAGACGAAAAAAAAAAAATTATTCTTTAAATAATTATTAATTATAACAATATAAATAATCGAATATATTAATGAAATAATATATTTAGTAGTAAAATAGTAAAAGAATAATTGTTATAAATAAATATTATAATAATTAAAGCTATAATATTATAATTATAACAATAAATTAATCACACGTTTGAAATAAAGCGTCTAATTGTCGTGATTTTCAATAACAGAATGACACCTTACGTATCGATTTCAATGTATCGAATTGAAAAGGGAGGGGATTCGACAAATCGAAATTTGTCGAGCGTAACACGAACGCAAACGAATCAATTTGGAAAAGCTGAATTATAAGAAATGTTTTCAGTTTCGAAGTTTTAAGTGTAAAATCAAAACAAATATAAAAATAATACACAAATTGAATATACGGATAGATTAAAAAACATAAAAATATATGTAAAATATATATGTATATATGAATTAATTATGATTTAACTATTACTTCCATTTTTATGTAAATAAAATTATAAAAGAAATTTATAGAAAATACATTTTTGTTAAAATAAATAAAATCTTACCATATCTGCACGAATGTTGTTGGATTATCTCTCAATTATTATTGTATATGCAAAATTTATATTTTTAAAATTCATTCCGCTTTCAAACCTTCAATCAAATGATAATCTGCCATAAAAATATTCAATTCTGGCATAATAATAATTAAACAAACGTATATTGATTAAATAAAGCTTAATAATTTTAATAAATTATAATTAAATTTAATAATTCTAACACAATATTCTATTAATACAAATTTTATATAATTATATACTTCTGTCAGTGAAATACGTTCTCTTACTACGATTTTTAATTTTAAACTGAAAATAATATGCGCAATATGGTGCGCATTGACTCGTTTTGCAATTAGATCTTAGTAGCTTTTTGATTGGCTGTAATGCAATTTTTTATTCATTTCAATCGTGCGAAAATTGAAGTACAATATATTGTATATTCAATTGTATATTTCTATACATTTAATTTTTACACATTAAATCATTAATTAATTAAAATAATGTCTGTTTACAGTCCTATCCTATTAATGGCTACATACGAGGAAGAGAATAAGGATGGTACATACATTCCGACCTGTTACACCAAAGCAAACACATATTGGACAATCAGTTTCGTCTTATTCACAATAATCGTATTCTTTGTAATACCATTCTTGATTTTGGTAGTTCTATACACAGTTATAGCACGCCATCTGATGACGAACCCAACAATTAGCCGTGGCTCGTCGAACAACTTGCTCAAATATCGCAAGCAGGTAATGCTCATGCTAGGAACAGTGGTACTCTGTTTCTTCTTGTGTTTATTACCATTTCGAGCATTAACACTTTGGATCTTAGTTGTCCCGATTAAGGTGATTCTCGATTTTGGTATCGAGCGTTACTTCACTCTGCTCTATTTCTGCCGAGTGATGTTATACTTGAACTCCGCCATTAATCCTATTCTCTACAATTTAATGTCAACGAAATTCAGGGAAGGATTCCTTAGATTATGCGGTTTGGGTCCTAATAGAAGAAAGAAGAAGAAAACGTCGGACAAAACTGGTACTTATACTACTGGCTCAACCAATTGCAGTAGCAACCACTCAGACTTCTGGAGAAGACATAGCAGTAATAAGAGCAGCAGTGTTAAGGCGCCGTGCAATTCGACCATGGAGAAACAAACAAAAGTACCACTTCAGACGACGGTCATTAGCGGAAATATTGTTAAGAAAAAACAGGAAAGTTACGTTTAAAGTAATGGGTACTAGGATAATTTTTTAAGACTGTGATCATTCGAATCATTCCATAACATTTTAATATCATTCAGTATTGTTCATATTTATATGTGGATTGTATTTTATAAAATATTTATATGTTAAAAATATGAAAAAAATTAAAAGATGATTCCAATTTAATTATTATTAAATAATAGTTTAATACTCATTTTGTTCTTATTATTTATATCTATTTTTATTGTACTATTTATATCTTCAATAACGAACTAGGATAATCTTAATTAATTAGGAATCGTAAAAAATTATTTTTTAATAATAACTTACTTAAATTATTTTATTTTTTACAAAAATATCAATCTACATAAGATTATGAACGATACATTAGGATCGAATTATATAAAATTTTACATAAAATCTGTGATCACTAATTATGTAAATGTTTACCGCATAAGTATTATAATGAAGAATAAAAAATATAAATGAAAGAAAGACTAAAGATAAAAATATAAAGTAAGTGAAATTGAATGATTTTTTAAAAATCAAATAGATATTTGTTTACTTTATTTACTATATGATATTATTTATTCAAATCTTGTTGTAATTTTTATAATCAAATGTAAATAATATTTAAAATAGCATACTAATTTTCTACAAAAATCTTGAGTTCCTATGCGCTCATTAAAGATATAATTATAATAATTGTTATAATTAAGTCAAATACTGTTTCATCATTTTATATCAATCTTAAATATAATTATGATAACTATTATAAAATAATTAGAAGTATTTTTAAAAATATATAAAGTATAGCTATTTTTCATGTATTAAAACTATTGGAAAAGTGATGAAACTAGTCTACAAGCTTTAAATAATTTATTTAAATAATAAATATAACAAGAAATATATACATTGATATTTTTGCTGTAATCGCGTATAATTATTAAAACTTTATTGCTCATAACGTAGCAATAAATAACAAATTGATTTAATTATATATTAAATTATTCCAGTAATCATTAATTGTATAGTATTCTTTCTCGGTTCCTATACATATATATAAAAGAATTTGTATTTTATTTTTATCATAAGAATGAATTGAATATTCCTAATCAATTGCAAAAGTTAATTTTCACAATCGTTCACAAATTTATTATTAATGCTTAATACGAAATATCTACGAGAAAATATTATTTTTATTATGCAAAATATACGTTTCTGTAAATATTTTGTAAAATAAAGAGAAGTTAAAATATTAATAATGTCAAATTTTTTTAAATTAACTTGCAAATGTTAAATCAAAAGTGATTTACATAATACATAATACAAAATAAACAAAATAAAGAGCTGAAATAAATATATTTTATATCATATATTCTAATTATAATAATATATAATTTAACAATATATATAATTAACAAATTAATAATTAAATAAAATTAAATATAATAATTTTAAATACAACAATGAAAAAAAACTTTAAAGTATATTATTTTATTTAAGATGTATCAAAAATATTTTAGATTAAGGAACACAAAATAACGTAATCAGAACGAAATTATTTTAACAAATTAGACTTTTCATAATCATATTTCATAAATATTATATCGTGAGCCAAATTGTCAGATCTCACAACTAAAGAATATATATAATAACCTTTTGATTCCATGAAATCGATCAAATTTCTCTTACCATTTTCAACGTGAGAGAATTCCACCGAAAACGTCTGAAAAGTAATCCAATTTTTAATTTTAAATTACAATTTATTGCATCAATTAATACTAATTAATCCGTTCAATTCACCTCTATATTTATCATGTCAAAAGGAATTGTTTTTAACACCTGAAGCTCATGGCCCTCTATATCAAGGCTGAAATAATTTACAGTAGTTACGTTAAGAGCAAACATTAAATCTATAAAAGGAAAACATTGAACTGAAATGTGAACGCCATTATGAACAACATCAGCAGAATTTGGTAAATGAGTGTCTGAAGCATTTGGCTCGTGTAATCGACCCACGTTGTTCGCCATTAAGAAGAAATTCTAAAAATTAAATAAAATAAAAAATATATATAATGAATATAAAATATTTTAAAATCATATTTAATTTTATTTATTACATAATTTGTTTTTATAGTAAATTACGAACTTTCGTACCACCGAGGGATATGGCTCAATAGCAAGACACGTCGGCGTTAGGTAAGCCTTTCTATTTTTCTTCAACATTTTATTAAAATTTATAGGATCTGCTTCTATTAGAAGACCACTCCAATTAAAGAATCGTTCTAATACCAAAGTATTACTTCGAGTTTCTCCGTCATAAGCACCACATTCTACGAAGAAACCATTTTTCTACACGAAATTAAATATTATAATATTAACTAGTTGTTCAAATAATAAAAAAGACTTAAATGTCTTGAGATCATTAATAATATTTTTTATTTAATTAAGTTCATGTAAAAATATTAATTGTGATGATTAATTGATAATACCTTATCTTTGAAAATTTTTCGAATAACACTCGCTTGACCCATTGATGGATCATTGATTTCTGGATTTTCAAGATTATACGAATAATTCGGATTATATTTCCAAAGTATCCAATATCGTCGAATATCGGTTATGTATTGCTGCCAATTTGTTGGATTCGATGGTGATTGTATCTTATTATTATACCATTTAACGCCTAACAATAATTATATAAATTAGTTTAATAAAAAAATTATGCAACTATATACTTAGAATTAAACTTTTAGAAAAAATTTACAATTAAAATTAGAGTATGAATACATATTATGAATATTTCATGAACCGTTTATAGTGTTAATCGTGCAATATTACATGATTAGGTAACACGATATACATGTAGATTTTACATGTGTTTAATTAAATTAGAAAACTACAAGTTGTGTATATGTATATACATAGCTTCATTAGATATCATCAAAAAATAATATAAAAAAATAATAAAAATTGTTTTTATTTCTTTTCGAAAAATTTCATAGAACTATATTTATAATGCTTTATAAAAAAAATCATTTAAAATATTCGAAATGAAAAATAGTATGAATTAATTCAATACTAAAATATAATAGTAATGATAATTAATATTACCAATTGAATATTGCTAAATATTCAAAAACAATTATATATAATTAATAATTTATTGATTTTTTAAACAAATCAATGATACTTATATCTTGTATTAAAATTTATTTTATAATATCAATTTATACATATTTATTTTGATCCGATTTTTTAATAAATAATTATATTTACAAATATGCAGAAAAAATTAACAGATGGTCCGTAATAATAATATTTAGATATGTAAATATGAATTAATATTTCTTATTATAATTTCATTGTATGTCATTATGACTTGCACGCGTAGATAAAACAATACGTTGCATAACATAGTCGTGATCATAAAGGCAGTAATAAATGATCAATAAAGATTATAAAGATTATTAAGATATAAATCACAAATTACAATTCGTAAATCAGTCAATTTATATCAATTATAAATAATATCAGTAACTTATTAGTTTAAGATTAATATTACACAACACTATTACATTGTGGAAATTTTAAATTCATGACATAAACATAAATAAAACATATAATAGTAATATACATATATATGTCTATTTCTATTACGAAATCGTTACAAAATTAACCTAAATAACCTAATTAATTAAATGAATTAACCTTGGTAAAATTAAGATTTCTTCTAGTATACAATTAATAAATAATAACAAAACAAGTCAAGAAACTTTTTTAATATTTTATAATTATTGTTCATTAATTTTTCCATAAAAATAAATTAATAATTGATTTTCCACACTCACCGTCGGTAAAGTTATACCACCTATTCAAAACTGTAACAGTAAAGATAAGATTATTATCAACAATATCGTAAAATTTCTTATAATTCACATATCAATAAAGATATTGTCATATATTTTTATAACACATTAAAATAGAAAAAAAAGGATAAAGATATTTTTAATAAAAATTTCTAATTCAAATGTTCAGACAATTTATACTGATAAATTAATATATGTTTTTAATAATAATTAAACAAAATTATTTAAATTATTTTAAATATATTATTTAAATATATTCAAATATAGTAAAAATATTTTTTATTTTTCTTATGACAATATCTATAACTAATTTATAGCAAAAAGAGATTTACATACCATCCTGATCTAGCTCCTCCAAATATGTATTATGTTTTATCTGATCCAAAGGAAGATAGGATGCGAATAAAAATTGTTGAATTAAAATAATTGACACGATGCCTAATAAAGCGATAACTGCATACCATTTCCGTCCCCAAAACGTTCTGACAATCCAAACGTGTACACATTGACAGCATTCAATATCCGGCATTTTTTTTAAAGAATTATAAAATAGTAATAAATTAGTGCTATTTTATAAGTAATGACGGACAAACCAATAAAAGGACGTAGTCCACGAAATTGTAACAAGAGACTGACCTCTTAGAGAATAATTCTTGGATCTTTAACATTGCTCGATCGATAGATATATGTAGTGTGATAAGTGTTCAAAATTATATTTATATTTTCATAAATCACTAATAATTTTAGTTGTCCTCTTCAACTTTTGATAATTCAAACTTTAAACTTTTATTCTCATCCCATTAATTATTGTCATTTTATATATACAAATAAATTAATTTTTTTTATAAGAATATCGAGTATGTGTATTTATATAAATTCATTATATCTTTTAAATTTGTTAAGACTTTATATTAATTATTTTTTTATAAATTTTTTGTCATTAATAAAAATCTTTAATAAAAATTATTTAAATGATGTGAATGAATGATGCAAAATATTCTTATTTACTACTTTTACTTCAATCGTCAAAGTAGATCGTTATATATTTTAATTGAGATATTGTTTTAAATATTGTTTATTTTTTGATTTTATTAATATTTAATTAAATTTCAAATTAAGCGAAGTCTTGATGTTAATTAATTGTTTATTGTTTTAAATATATATTTTAAAATGAATAAACAGAGGTTATGATCGAAAAATAACACATAACTGTAAGATGATCACTGTAACTAAATACACTTATATTGCACATACGTACACATGTACATTTTTTTAATCATTCAATCATTTAAATATAAATATCATTAACGGCACAAAAAAATGAAAATGAATCCGAATAATATTGCAATTGAATTCTAACTGTCACATGCATTCTTAATTAAAATTCTTAATTTAAAAATTTTAAATAAATAATAATTTTATACTTAATAAATCGTTGAGAATACTTGAGAATATTCAAATATTTATATATACTGAATAAATTAGAAAAACAAAAAGAAATAAAAATTCATTTAAATTTAGTCTTAGTAATACTAAATTTAGTATACTGTGATATAGCCGCATACTTACAAAATAACTCAAGTTAAATTGCGATATTGGTTTTATATTCCATTTATTAGATGATAATTAATAAATAAAATATAAAACCAATATAAATTAATTTTAATGTACAATTAATAGAGAATAGCAAATATTAAATAACAAATATTTCTTACATTAAATGATTCCAATAAAAATAATATATATACTTTATGTGCATATTTCAGCAATATTTAATTATATGGATAAGATTTAATATGAAGATACATATATATTATGAATAAATAGAACAAAATAATTTGTAAAATATCTCTATTAAATGCATTAGTTAATGTATAAAAAATCTATTATAAATAATAAATAATAAAATATGAAACATTTTTTTTTAATGAAAAAAGATGTATTAATCAAAACTAATCTTAATAAATTTTATCCACAGAGTAAATATAAATTATCAAATGCAGGTAAATAATTATTTATTTTCGACTATTGATAAAATCGAATTAAGAAATATATATTCTAATAAAAATATAAAATTATAAATTATATATAAAAATAATAAGTCATAATAATACCTTTCTTTTATAATAAACATGCAAAATTTAATTGATTAATGTGCAAAAAATGTAAAAAAAAATCTATAGTGAAAATAATCATTTATATATTATCAAAAAATAAAATATATATGGTATTTAAAAAAAGTAATATGTCTTTCTCATACGAACATTATAGAATGACTGCAAGCGTTTGGTTATTTCCTTATTTATATATCTTTCAATCGAAATATGTAATATATAATACATATATGTATATCATATATACAATGTGTTCCATATAAATAAAATCTAAACTAACCTAAATTATGATTACTTTTTTATAAATAAATAAAAATTTTAAATATTGAATATTATTAATAATTATTAAATATAATAATATATATTTAATTGTTTAATTAAATAAATTTACTTTTTACAGTAATACATTTAAATAATATAGTGATGTGTTAGGTTATATATAAATATATTTTGCTTTAAATATTTTTACAAGAATAATTCATTCAATATTAAAATTTACAAAAATCTAACAATTTAAAAAAAAATGGCAGAAAAAAGTCATTGTATGTATTTTGTAAAAAAAAAAAAACGTTATTGTCGTATGACAGTAAAAAAAGGAAACAAATTTTGTGGTGAACATCAAGAAGTTTCATTAGATTGTGATTTAGACAAGCAAAAATCTGAAAATAAACGAATAAAATGTCCACTTGATCCAACACAGTAAGTTTATATCTTTTATAAATATTTTATAGGAATATAAAATTTAATTAAATTATTTCTAGTACATGTTATGAATCTAAGATATCTAAACATTTAAAAGTATGTAATGCAAAGCGTTTAATTGATGCACAACCATCATTTATTGTAAAAGGAATTAATTCCAATGAAATATGTGAAACATCACAACATGTTCCACTTTCTGAATTAAATGAACTCATTATAAATACAGTTATAGATAAAATAAAAAATGTTTATGGTTAGTAATTCTAATTTATTTAAAAAATCTTTTATTATAATTTTAAATTTTAAATTTTAAATTTTAAATTTTAAATATAAATTCATATATTTAAAATCAAATTTAAACTTGATCTATAATTTTTTATTACTTTTTTTTACAGAAAAATTACCAGAATTTCCTGAAATAATATTGGAGCATCAAATACTTAAAGATAAAATAAATGATGTTTCTTGTGGAAAAATTGTTAAGAAGCATCTCATTCAAAATTCATCATTATTATCACATTTAGAATGTGCAAATCTTATAAAAGATAATACTTGTTTTATTGAGTTTGGAGCAGGAAAAGGCAAATTAACTTATTGGTTAGGACAAATAATAAAGAATAAAAAAGATTGTTGTATATTATTGATAGATCGTTCAAGTTATAGACATAAAAGTGATAATAAATTGAAGAATGAACAATCTGCTCTTATAATAGAAAGAATACGTACTGATATTGCTGATTTGAAATTAAATGCTATATCAACAATTCAAAAATTTAAAAATAAAGTTGGTATTGCAAAACATTTGTGTGGTGCAGCTACAGGTATATTTATAGTTTTCTTCCATATATATTCTATTACTAAAGAAATTATTAATATTATTTTATAGATTTAACTCTTAGTTGTTTAGTTCATGCAATGCAAAATGAACCGAAATGTAATGTTATTGGATTAATTATTGCATTTTGTTGCCATCACAAATGTGAATATAAATCATACGTTGGAAAAGATTTTTTAAAACAATGTGGATTTATACCAAATGAGTTTACAATTTTATGTAGCATTGCTAGTTGGGCAACTTGTGGTTCTGTTTTAAACAAGGAAATTGAAACTTCAAAAACTCAAAATAATATCAAAAATATAAGGTATAATATTTTTAATTTTTAATATTTTCTCTTTGTTTTTTTTTTCATTAGATATGAAAAATAATAAAAAAAACACATTATATTTTTTAGTACAAATATAAAAACCTTAACTTCGAATGAAAAAGAAAATATCGGCCGTAAAGTAAAATCGATACTAAATTGGGGTCGTTTGGAATATTTAAAAAATGTTGGATTTCAAAGTAACCTTATTTATTATACTACTTCTGATGTATCATTAGAAAACATGTGTATAGTAACTACAAAAAGTCAAATATAATAATTTAATAAATATATATTATAATATATATTATAATAAATATAAAATAAACTTTTTGAACCAATTTATATGTATTTATGCATACAAATATTGATTCTTAATAAAATTTATTCTATCTATCTATTTGATGATCTGGATATTTTTGTTTTGAATATAATCGTATTTTTACTATATAAAAAAAGTATATTTTCTACTTTTTTATGTAAAAGATCAATATTATTATTATATCGAAGTTAATATCAATCAGTTAAAATACGTAATTTAAGTATGACTATTTTATTGCATCGCTACATGTGAACACTGCAGAAGGCATTAATTTCTTTTACTATATACAACGCCCCGCCCAAACATAACTTTGTGTAACAGTTTCTATTGCACCAAATGATGTTCGGATTCAAGATGATTACGTCGTTAAATTAATATTACAAAAATTATACATATATTTCTATTATAATAATAAAAATTTAATTAATAATATAAAATTCATCAATAAAAGAACTATTTAAGGTACGTATTATATAATATTAACATTTTGTTTGATAAAATTAAAATTTCATGATTTCATTTACTATGAAGTCATTTCATGATATTTTAAAGATATGTTAACATTATATTTTTTATAATTAATTTTTTAAATATAATATAATCAAAATTTTTATAAAGAATAAGCATTTTAAAATAATTCTAATTTAATTATATGACTGATACGCCACGCCTTCGTTTCTGTAAGTATAGATGACGCGAAATTTACATTTTTAAAAACTGGGATTTTTGAATTAAAAAAGTAAATATTATTTGCAAATTTAAACAAGATACTATTTTGTTAATTAGTAAATGAAATTATGTAAAAAAATATATTTATTCCCTTCAGTCGATTTTTAAATTAATAGAATTAATTGATAAAAGTTTATTAAAAATTTATTATTAAAAGTTTAAGCATTGAAGGGAAAATTATCTTTGTTTTTTTCAGAGGAATCTTTAAAATTTATAAAATGTCCATTTTAGACGAGCGAGAGGATTATCTGAAGAATCCCTTCTTTGTGAAGCATGAATATGGTGATTTTACACCATTTTATGTCACTGTCACTATCTGTTCTCTACTATTTGCATTTTTGTGCATTCTGAACATTGGATTTTGTTGTTCGCGTCATCGATATTATTGGCAAAGTCCTCATACTGGTAAGTTTCAATATCAATATAATAAAATATTTCATTTTCAATAATAATCTTATAATGAATATTATTGTTTATTTTTTTATTTAATTAGGGAACAGATGGATTCAACCATTATGGACAGTATTACCGCATAAAACACCACCTTTGGATTTAACTGAATTAGAACCAGGACGTGCTTTTGAGGCACAAGAGAAACAAGAGGTTTTACAATATCACGATCCAAAGCCATATGGAACTGCACCACAAACACAAGAATATATGGAAATGCAAAAACGTGAGAGTGAAATTTAATTAAATATTAATTTTGATATTATATATATAAGTGAACAAACATTCAAAAGTCGAATTCAAGTATTCAGTTAAAAACATTGTATAAATTGATCTATATATATATATATATATAGATTTATTATATATATATATAATAGCCAAAGCTAAAAAATAACTGTACAAAGTGCACAAAACTTATATATTTTTAAAAATCACATCAAGATGGGACTGCACATTTTTTGGCCAGCAACCACTTGTTTAACACTTTTTGTTGTTTGTATAATAATAATCTTATTAAAATACGGTTCACAAATTTGTAAGGTACGACATACAACATTGCCATCTGATCGAGAATGGGAAGAAAAAGCATATTCACGAAAACTTTCAATTTCCATGGCATAAAGTTAGATAGATATCACCATATGTTTTCATGTCATCTAATTCGTAATAGCAAAGAATTTAGATTAAAATTAGGATATATTTTAACATATAGATATATGCTTACTCTATATTTAATAATAACATTTCAAATCTAAAAACTATTTTTTACAAATATGCTTTGAAAAAATTACTTAAACACTATACATATGTATAATATACATATGTATCAGTGTTTTATTTTAAAATAATATAATTGTGTGCCTTAAAAAATAATTTTGCACATTATACATTACCTTTTATACATTACCTTTTATGCATTTTAGGATAAGAAATTTTAATGAATCTCTATTTATCTATATAAAATATCATAGTTGTTTGTGTCATGAAAATTAATTTTTTTCCAATAAAATTTTACAATTAATAATTAATTAAAAATGAAATAGAATATATATATTTGTTTAAACAATAATTTTAAGAAAGTAAGCAATAATTCTTACATTTTATAAGTTGATTTGAAAATATATTTCATGACACAATATAAAAAAAAATAGAATATTTGTAAAGAAAGACTATGTAACTATATTAAAGATCTGTAATCCGTCCCATTTTTTAAAGTTTAGTATTTTTTATAAAACAATTTTATAATTATCTGCAAACTTTTGTATTTTTTATATGTTTTTCATATAAATAAAAAATGCTTATCTTTACATAAAATATACGTACATTTAATGTATCTTCTATTAATTATTTGATTAATTTGATTAATTTGTGTTCACTAAAAACATAAAATTAATCAATAATTTTTATATATAATATTTAGTTTTTATTGACAACATTGGATTTTTATTACATGTGTAATGGTTACACAATTATTTAATAAGTAAGTAGATACATTATACAATTTTTTCGTTCAATTATAACGTCAGCTTGTAAATAAATTACTGACAATGATTTCGCACGAGCTACACGAGATATTTAATTTGGAAATATGAATTTGATTTGATTGCCTAGGCAACTAAAACTTAAACTTCCTATTAAAGATATCTTTTTTTTTTTTTTTTTTTTTAAATTTTTTTTAATAAAAAATTTTTTTTTTTTTTTTTTTTTTGAATTCTTCTTAACTAACTAATTTTTCATTTTTTTTTTTCTTTTGATCTGATATAAATTCGTTCGCTACTATTCTATAGAAAAGTACCGAACAGAATTCTTCTTCATTTATGATTTGATTTTAAATTCATCAACGAGTTTAATCTATATATCAACATGGATGCATAATGATTAAAAAACTTTGAATGGTATACTCAAAAGATCAATAACATTTTTGGAAAGACTTTTGATTATGTTGCAAGTACAATGATGGATTAAAATTTGAAAAAGCAATTAAGGCTTCCTTCTGCCATACTTCAACTCGCATTTAAGAACAATTTAACTTCTAATCATTAGCATATCTTCTATTATTATTATGCTATGTTACAATGCGTTTAAAACACGAAGAACTTCCATCAAGTTCCACACAAAGAGAGGTCAAGCATGTTATTATTTAATTACGCTTTAATAGACGTTTAATAATAGTTAATTAGAAGAAACCATAGAATGTAGATAATGCTATCTTATTCTATCATAGATTCGTTTTTTTCATTTTTTTTTCTTTTTATGTATAATCATGATATGACGTACACGGTATATGTAGACTAATCTACGATCATCGATACCGATCAATACCATCGATCCGTATGTATTTCGCTGAATATTTTTTTTTTATACAGATATACCGTATATACCCGGCATAATTACCTGAATTAACTGACTTTTATTAACTTTAATGACTTTATCGAATTTTTCTTGTTTCGTATACATCTAGACTTAAAAACAAATACAATTTTGTATTCGGAAAGGGGAAGGTTTGATTTCTATAGTTTCAATGGAACACCTCGTAGAGACGAGTTCTAATTAATTTAATTAGCCCCCAGATCTACGAGAAGCCTGAGACTTTTGCATTATGTTAATTTGATTTTTATGCTCATTTGGCTTTCGTTATTATAAGTTTTTCATTCAGAGATAATACGAGACACATATAAAGAGACTGTATATATTGACGTTTCATTTTATGCGAAGGTTACGTCTTGTCGAGAAGAATTATTAGTACATATCGGAGAAATGGTAATAATTATTTAATCGTGCTTATCACGTAAAACACTGATTCCCAAACTTAAGGACGCGGCAGTTTTCAAACAACTTTCCAATTAATTCGATATTTTAAAAGTTATTTAAATATTTATTTAATATTTATTTACTTTTAACTATATTCTTTTTCGTAAAAAAGTAGTTTATTACTTTTATCATTAGCATAAGTAAGTTTATATCTTGGAACCTCGATTATATCCTAATAAGAATGAAAACGTCCGAAAAGTTTGGAAACCCTTTGAATGTATAAGACATAGTTAACATCAAACACGGTATATTTACCTATATGACAATTGAAAGGATAAAATCTCTGTTCACAAATATTGTACCTGATTTTAAGTATAAATATTAATGAAAAGAAAGCCGAACAGAGAGCCATCTTTATATAAAATAATCATACGCAGAAGAATGTGCGTGGAAAACTAACGAATTAAACGAACAAAATGTTCGTGTTAATGACAACATATTTTAATTTTTTTAGAGGAAGACAAAGTTAACGGGCATTTTATATAGAGACCGTCGATCGTCCACTTGTCTTTCTTCTTCTTTTTTATCCGTCGACGTATTTTAAAAGAAATATAAACTATTTCTAATTGGGAATTTCTATTATGCTATAATTGATAATCGTACAACGTTGAAAATTCGTATGGGTTCGTAACGATGCATATATTCTAGCAAGAATATATTTTATAAAGAATCTCAACGGCAGTCATTTCGTGTTGATTCTTGATACTAAAAGTTTTACCACAGTGTATTACTATACAATTATCATGTCATGAAACGTTTCATCATCGATACAGTAGCATAATATAATAATAATAATCGTAATTTTATAAAACATAGAAAAAAAAGAAAAAATTATTTCTTTAAAAAAATAATAATTCATATAAGATATATATTTTGCCAATTATATTTACAATTTACTATATATTATATTTATCTGATTACTTATTTAAAATTGACAAAAGATTATTTTTAACAAAAGAAAGAAAAAAAATTCATGATAGTATCAAAGAATAATTAATAATTTTTAATGATTTAATTATGTCACTGTATCGAGGACAAGATCGGTAATATTCATAAATAAATCGATACACAGCAATTACAGAGTTGACAGAATTGTAAAAAAAAAAAAAGAAAACATTATTGAATCCAGCTATCCACTCTTTAATATATTCGTATAGCGATTATTAATATTTGGCCACATATAATGGAAGTAATTCTGAAAATAGCCAACATGTAATCGATAATTATTATCGATGGAGCAAGTACTGACAGTAACGTTCAAACGTTTAAAAGTCAGATTTTATGATCGTATTGAAATTTCTTTTTCAATTATAATCATTGTCAATACTTAAAATACATTCCTTCTCTGTTCATTTGAAAATTAGAGTTCACGTGAAAAAGACAAGATAGTATTTTCGTTGCCTGTTATGGAACAGATCGCTGCGTACTCCATTAAGTGATTGATCGACAATTTTCCTCGTTTATTGTTTACCCGACTTCTTGCTTGCTCGTTCTCCTAAAACAGTTACATAAAAATTATAAATCAAAAGATATATATAGTTATACATATTTAATATATACATCTAAATATATCTAATATATACATATATATTTTAATATAATAAATTTGATTGTTTCATTATTGACTGTTAGTAATAAATTTACAATTTGCAAGATTGAATTATTTAATTATTACTACGATTAAATTTTGCTTTGACACTAAATTTTTTATTTATTTATCTTTAAAACTATAAAGTACGTAAGTTAATTTTTTTTTATGTTTATCCAAAAAAAATATTTATTTACGGAAAAAAAATTCTTCGAAGGAAAAGAATCATAATGGTAAACAGAAGTTCTCCTTAATGTAAAGTTTCATTATTCAAATATTATATAGTCATAACATTTACTACTACCATTACAGTAGAAGTTTCAATAACAATCTAATTCTATCAATATTATCAAACATGGAGTATCAATTCAATATCAATATCAATCTTAAATATATTACTGTAGTATTAATTAATAAAACTATTATTCACATAATTGTATACAATAAAAAACAGAATAAAGATATACCTTTGGGTGATTTTTTGGTGTTGGTTTCCGGTTTACACCTCTTGGTCAATCGACGCGTTTTTTCGCATGAAGTATCACTGTTCGCTTTTAAATTGTCCACTCTTGTCATCAGCTGATTCACGCATCCGCTCCACGTGCCCTTTTCGTACCGGCAAGCTGTATTCCCCGCCAAGCAGGGATAATCACACCATCATAAACTCCATTATCATTCATTCATGATACAAGTTAAGGCGACAACGGTGCACATCTTGCATTACAAAATGACATGACACGACTATTGATTTTCTAATTAGATTTTTTTAAAAAAAATTGTCATTCAATCATATCTTTGTTTTAAAGATATTTATATATAATTAATATCATTGTTAAAGAATGCTCTATTTAAACTCTCATGAATATTATGAATATTCGGAATATCGATAAAATTGTTACATATCCATGAATCATGAGAGTTTAATTTAATTTTCTGAAATAGAATTTCGAGCAAACACCCACGCATAAAATAGAAATATCTGCATGGCAATGGCGGCGAATTAGATTCTAAATGTCAAGTCTAATCGAATTGAAAAGAATAAATGAAATAGAAACTATTAATTAAAAAGTTTCATTATTTGTATAGCTATGTTGAATATAATCATTTTAATGTGATCATCTTTTATGATGCTTTAACGAGTTTATAATAATAATATATATTTTTTTTTCATTTTTTTTTTTTGTATGAAGCTTACCCCTGAATCTAAATAAATCCATAACTTAATTAATTCTTATATAATTTGAATTTTTTATCGAGAAAATGTTGATACACAAACATTAATTCGTAATAACTTCGTATAGCATACAGTATACGAAGTTATACGATTTGTGTATCAACATTTTCTCGATAAAAAATTCAAATTATATAAGAATTAATTAAGTTATGGATTTATTTAGATTCAGGGGTAAGCTTCATACAAAAAAAAAAAAAGAAAAAAAAAAAAAAATTTTTTTTTTTTTTTCTTTTTTTTTTTTTGTATGAAGCTTACACCTGAATCTAAATAAATCCATAACTTAATTAATTCTTATATAATTTGAATTTTTTATCGAGAAAATGTTGATACACAAACATTAATTCATAATTTTTTCCGATCAATTTCATTTCTAATAGATAATAGAAAATTTGAGATATTGAAGAAATGTTTACCATAGAAACAATGCACCGTTGCCCGAAATCAAAGATAAATTAGATAGCGTTCTTCGTTCCATTTAATTAATTAAAAGATTTTTGAGACTCTCACTAATTAGAGTCCATTAACTTCCGTTTCCATCTAAAGGACTATCCAACTTCATCTCTAGATTTAAACTGCGCATATCAAATTAAGGAAAAACTTATTATACATTGTTTATAATCAATGAAATACAAAAATAGTACATTTAAATATTCTTATTGTTTTATCGGATTAGTTAAATAGTCCTTTAATCCTTAACACATTTTTCGTGGAATTTTAAAAGTATATATTTTTTAATATAAAACAAATCTTCAAAATAAAATTTGCGAGAATCTCTTTGATGAATCAAGCGTGATATTATGTATTTAATATTCTATAACAATTTTTTTTAATATTTTTATTTGATCATAATCACTTGCAAAAACAGAATTGATTTGAATTTTGCAAGCATTATAATTAATGAATTGAAATTTTTATCACGATAAATATTTATTTTAATCAAATAAATTTAAGAACGAAGATAAAAAAGTAAATGTCGAAAAATTCGAGTGAATCCAGCGTGTGGATCACAGATAGCGTACCTTTTTTGCATTTTTTCTGGATGGTCTTGGTCTGCTCGCACGACTTGTCGCCCTTTTTAAGATTCAGTGTTCGGGACCGAGTGTTGGTTTTCGAGTCGCACTCCGACCATTGACCCTTCACGTATCTGCACGACGAAGTACTGCCGGATGCTGTGTCAACAGATGTAAAACGTCAATAGAGATAATTGAAGGCACAGCCGATCAAGTGGATAGAGAAATTTCCGAACGTGCAGGACGGCCTTTAATTACGATGCAAAAGTCTAGTCCTTTTCTCTCTATATTGCTCTAGGATTAACATATTTAATAGTTATAATTATCTCTTCATATAACACGTAATAGTAGATGTTAATTTAGTGAAAGACTATTAAAAATTTTTAAGATAGAGAATCATATTGTAAAATAGTATTGTAATTATAATAGTATTATAATAATTATTGTATAATATTATGCAGAATTCTCTAATTTTATTAAAATATAGATAATATTAATATTATAAAAAATTATTAATTGATAATCACATAGATATATATTTTCAAAATATTTTCTTCAAAATAAAAATTGAAATTTAATAAGAAATATATTTTCAATATTGTTAATGATGAAATATGATAGAAAAGATGTAAAAATACTTATTATAAAAATATATCTTTGTATGTTAATCTAATAAATATAATTCTTATCATATACATATTCAGGATTAATTCATGACAGTGTAATTGTTGCACAATTATATATTCATTGTACTTCATTATACATTCATGGTACAACTTCAGATTGAAGCTAGACATGTATAGCTTTGAATATCAATATTTTCTATGAAGTTGAAGAGAAAGAAATACGTTCATTGTCTTTTTATTTTTCTTCACGTCACGAGACAAAGCTAAAAATAGAAAATTGAAACTTGAAATTTGAATATATGCAAATGAAATCTGATATATATTTCCGAAAAATACGATTAATTTATCCATAATATTGAAATATTATTTCTTTATTTTCAATAAAATAATTAAAATTATATATCTTTTCGTTTCATTGATTTTATCTTATTGTATCAATTTGAAATATATATATAATAATAAGAATATATTAAATTACGAAAATGAAGAAAAAAAAACAAAAGCCAGTCTCAGATTAATTTTTAATAAATAACATATATAACAAAATAACATTTAATTTTTTACATGAAAAATATGTTGAATTAACACAAAATAAAAACAAACATTAATATATAATTTAAAAATTATTCACACGATTTTTTATATAACGTTAAATCTTGCATCTATCAAAGTAAGCAGAGACTGCACAGAGGGGAAGGGATATAACTATGAAACGAAACGAGGAAAGCAAATAGAAAGTTGCAGTAACCAAGAAGCATGGCGCGAGCTTCATAGCTCGACCTGTAATTCAACGTGATCCTCGAAGTTGGAATTTCAGCAGCGGCCTTCTTTCGGTGACTTGTTCCATCCTGAAAAGGAACTCGAAGAAAAGCCCTCTCTTCTTCACCCCTCTTTTTCCCTTCCCAGAAGCTCGATCCTGGGTCGAATAAATTTCTAAGACCAAATGATCTTAGTCGAGAATGAAAGCGGGTGCGCGTCGGTGGATGATATTTCAATTGTATTCCCTGGCCGCGGGAGACGAAACCCGAAAGATGAGAAAAAGAACCGTGGAGAAACAAAAGAAGCTTTTTAATAATATCAGAATTCGCGATTACTATGTTTCAATCCATTATAAAAAACAATCTTTTCTTGATACGTATGCTCAATCGAGTTTGTTAATATATCACGTTAGCTTTCGTTTCATTTTTTTGTCTTTTTTTTTTTTTTTTTTTTTCTTTTTTTTTTTTTTTTTTTTTTTTTTTTTTTCTATTCTTTGAATAGCTAATTTTCAATAACGTCGACCCAATTCTAATAAAAACAGTCAACACTACTTGACCTAGAATGTATACTTGGAAACAAACACTAACTACTTTTCTTAAGATAAAACACCTTTGAAAAGATTCCAAAGAATACACAATGGACGTGACTTCTGTTCGCTTGGGAGCATAATTAAAGAGGATTTTTAAGCACAAAGATTCTTATGGACGCCATGATACTCCTACACACCATTGACCTCTTCACGAAACAAACAGTCTATCTCAAACACCTTGTAAACACTTATCAGATATATTAAGTTTCTTCATCTCTCAACGAAACTAACAAGGACTTTTCCCAGAACTTCCAAGATTTCAATTCTTCTCGTTGATCTTTCAAAACTCGGTTTATAATAGGAACTTTTAATGAAGACTTTTCAAAGAACAGTAAAAGTAAATAAATCTTGTAGGATAATCTCGTAGTTGAAAATCAAAGCGAAAATTGTTTTATATTATTGTTATAATTGTTATAATTGTTTTATATAATTATTATTATTATTTTAAGAATGAAAATGAAGAGTAAAGAAATGAGTGAAAATGATTTTTTCTTATTCTCTATTATATTAGAAAGTTGGAAAGAAAAGTATAAATTTTGACTAATCATCGTATTAACTAATTTTGATATTTTATTTTTAAAATTATTCAGATAAAAGAAAATGAATATGAAAAGAATATATACTATATAGATAAGAGAAGGAAATACAAATTATTAAAAAATATATATATATGTGTGTGTACTTTAAATAATTAATGAAAATAATAGTTAATAAAAATTATTATTAAACTTATTTTGATCACTTAATTTTACTAAAAATATGAAAAATGTTGAAAATTATATATAATCTTAATTTTTAATTTAACCAGAAGTTATATATCTTTGTTTTCTAAATTTCACCTTACTTCAATGTAATGTGTATATATACAGAATATTTATATATTCGTGGGATATCTTTGAAAGCTTGATTCTCAAGGCCAAAAAGAAGCAAAAGTTAATATATACAAATGTCGATTGAGGCTTATTTATTAAGTTATAGGCAATTGAAGTTTGCATTAGATGAAATGAGACGAAAATAAAGCAGGATAACTTTATCACGAGTGTCTCATGAATATATTAATATTCTGTATTGTACTCTATAAGTACAGTAATTTTCCAATACATATCTACGAACTATTTCCATCAAATAATTAGTTCGAAATAGATCTATCATTCGCATCAAAGTAATTTAAGTGGTAAAAATTGTATTATTAGAATAAAAAAAATATAATTTTTTCTTAAATTTTTAATTAAATTGTTGCAAAATGACTTAATCGATGTAGATTATAGATTTGTACAATCAAAAGAATATATATATAAAAACGTCAAACAATCCAGAAAAATCCGAAAGTTCTATATGATATCAACAAGCCATGACAATATCCCTCTCCACTTTGTTCACAAACAATAGAGTCTTGAAAATGCGTCGCAGAAAAGGGACATTGATAAAAAAGTAATGACGAAACTTTGTTAACACAGTTTTATAGATATTTTGTCATCTTATTTTCACGTCTGATCATTCTCATCACTTTTGTTTTCATAAACTTATTACACATAAATTTATTTAATTTCAATTAATAAAAAAATGATCTGTTTATATATTATTATTGCATTTTATTCATTATACTATCTTATTTAATATTTTTCACTTTTATTCTTGATGCAAGCTCAATAGAGAATAATGCCAATTTTTGAAAATTTATTTTTATATATATATAAGCATATCATCCAGATACTATCTATGTATATGATACTATATATATATATATATATATAGCTATGTAAAGATTCTTAATTAAATTTAATACATACCTCGTTCTTTAGTGCCACGAACGGTTCGCACAAGTACTTCCTTATCGTCTTCTTCCCAGAGATCAGATTCCGCTCTGGCGGTAACAATGATCATCAAGAGGGCGACACCGACCAGCGCCAAACTCCACCACAGCTTCATTCTGCATACAAAAAAAAAAGAAAAATTAAAAAAAAAATAAGAAAAAGTTTAAATTAAACATCTTGTTAATTTTATATTTTTCAATCATATTATCGTTTTAATTATTATTATTATTATTATTATTATTATTAGATATCAGAGCATTGAGAAATGAAATTAGAAAAATATTTAACGAAAAAAAAAAATTCTATCCACTTAAAGTGAAGAATGGTTAAAAGCATTGCATCATATTCTTGTATAGCACTTAAAAATTACGATTTTACCATTGAGATATATTGCAATCATGATATAACCAGACAGAAAATAATTTCTCATAAAAAAAATAAATAAATAAATCGAAAATACAAAGCAGAAATTTTTTTTAAACATTTAACTAATATATACAAGCTATTAATACATTTATGAATTTTTTAAGGATCAGTTTTAGATTTATATCTAAAATTGATATGAAAAATGTATAAAAAATATCGATGAAATTTCATTAAATTAAGCGATTTAATTTTGTACTGGATAAAGCAAGATGAAGATAGAATGAAATGATTGTATATGTATCACAATTGGAAAAAAACATTTTGTATACTCAAAATAGATCGATATTTCGAGTCAGTTTACCAACTAGAAATTTTTGCTATTAATATAAAATTCGCAAAAAAAAAAAAAAAATATTTTCTTTTTTTTTGTTTATGTTTTTTTTTTCAATTTCATAGAAACAAATTCGAATGTTCGTTAGAAAATCGCGCTCGAATCAATTTTCTCTGTGCCAACATGAATTCGATGGTCGACATTCTTTCCATTTTTCTCTCTCTCTCTCTTTCTCTCTTTCATCGTGAACATTTACTAACACATAGAGATTCGAATGCTATTTTTTTCCTGTGGATGGCGCGTTCGAAATTTACGGGTCAATTCATTCCCGCCATTGCCACGAGATTGGAAGCTCCCCTCTATATGAGAAGAACTAATGTTTTTACAGTTACAGAATTCTTGATGGTTATTGTTCTCACAAACATTGAACAACGAATATGGGTTTTTAGCTTTTTCAATATATATTGATCAAATTAATCAAACAAACATTTCTAATTAATATATAATAAGAATTTAATTGCGAACATTTTAGATATTGAATAATTTTTTTATCCAAGATTATTTTTGTTTCAGTTATCATATTCCTAACTTCGAATAAATTGTGCATTAATAATATGTATCTTAACGAATAATAATTTTATTTTACGGATGTTTTCGAGCAATAAATCACGTCTAACATAGGTTAAACAAGCCCGTAGTTTGCATATCATCGAGTTTCACCCATTTGTCCCTCGTAAATTTTGTAATCGCCTGGAAACATGGAAAGTACTAATTGCCAAAGCTGCAAGCCTCGATGAATTCTTGTAATTATTGAAATCAATAGAAGCACAAAGCTCTGTAGCAAAAGAATCACAGTAAATGAACGGTTAAATATTTTTTATCTTAATATTCGATTAAATAATAGAATTTGTCGAAAACAAATGGAAATTTATTCTGTGGAATATCACATACCTAATTGTATATACATATATATTCAACATGTAGAAATGCTTTCAGGATGAAACAAATAGAGTAACCAAAATATTTTTATAAATAATAAATTAATTGTAAAAATTATACAATATAATTTTTACAATATAGTTAATATAATTATTCATATTTTTCAAGATATTTTTTTTAATAGACAAGATATTAAAATATTCTGTTGATTTATATTATATTTTTTCACTTGATAAAAAATTTTGAAAAAAATTTCAATATCATTAACGAATTAAGAATGAATGTAAAAAAATGATTGAATATAAAAAAAAATTGTTAAGTTGTGAAGAAAATCCAAAAATTGTTAAAACAGTTCAACTCTATCTACTTCTTTTTCGATGACATTACTATTCATGAAAAAGTAGCCATATTTTACGTGCTTTACTTTGTATGTATACTGATATTTGACACAGATGTATGCACGATTTAAATCGTCATGTTAATTAATAGGGAAGTGCGGGGGCGAGAAAATTATACCGAAAGCAATTCGTCGCCCTTCCACGGGAGGAAACGTTCGTTTGTCTCTTACATTTGCACCGCAATTACTGAAATCTTGTCCATTTGTGTCAACGATTTCGACAATCAATGCCAATGAAACAATGATACGTTTATCTTATTACAAAGCTACTTTGCGGTGCAATCAATCGAAATTGTTCGGACAATAAACGCCGAATAAACCAACTTACATGCACCAACAGTCTTGCTTTTACACATTGTTGGGAGAAAGTTAATTTTACGTTATTCAATTCAATCATTGATCAAATATTCATAATTTCGCGTTTCAAAAAGCGAAATTTATTTATGATTCTTTCCTTACAAGTATTTTTAAATTAATAATAATATATATAAAAAAATATTTTTAAAAAAATATTAATAATTATTACTAATAAGATTAATCGTAATATTAATGATATTAACAATAAAATTAACGAAACTGAATTTTTATTAAATTATATTTAAATAGTGAAATAAATAAATAGAAATAACAAGAAAATTCATTGGACGATTTTAATCTTTAATGGCGACTCAAACGATAAATTGCACGATTTGCACGATAAATAACTACCAAAAAAGAATGGTGTAAAAAAAAAAAAAGTTTGAAAGAAAAATACATATTCGATTTCTCATAAAAAAAGAAATTATGAATAAAGAAACAGTTTTGTTTTGAAGAACAGCCGCGACAATTGAACGTCTCTAATGAATGCCACGTTTTAATTAATTTCCTAAAAGAAACTCCAGAAAGACGATATCGATTCAGTTACTCGCAGTTATTGAAACTGGGGATTGAGAGAACAAAGTAGGATAGAATGAAGGGGAGGGGTATAGGAAAGCTTTGAGAGGGAAGGAAGAGGAGAGAAGTACTATGCAAATTTTTATTGCTACGCGTTGTACAGTTAACTTTGAATCATTTTCACTAATGAGCTCCCCTAGAAAGCATTATATGAAAACTCCTAATTGTTACTCAGTGACTAACGTTGAACCATGAACTCAATTTTCATGAAATGGACGACTATGTACATACATGTAATTACTGATTAGTGCATACAGCGCCAGTATCGCTCTGGAAATTATGATAATTTAGCAATGGTGGTTTATCGCGCGCATTTTAGTCAGAAGTAAATTAAATATAAATTGAATGAATGGTATCCGTATAAAACTATCACTTCTGATATTCACTGTATCGAACAAAAGTTTATTTTTATGAAACAGAAATAGATTGTATTTCTGTCGGAAAAGTTCGCTTTTAGCTTTCATTCCAGTTGTTTTTTTTCGATTATAGAATATTTCTTCATCATTGTTCGATGGGAATTGAAGTTCAGTGAAAATAAAGATAGATGTCGCTGATTGTTAACCTCTTAAGGAATATTCACACGATCAACATACATTGTCAATAATTGAAGATTCTCGTACAAAAACGATTGATATATATTAATATATTATTGTATTATGTATATATTAATGTATTAATGTATTAATGTATTGTATAATATATAATGTACATAGTATATTGTAAGCAATTACAATAACAAATATTGCAATAAAAATATTGACGGTATATATAGATTACACATTATTATGGCATTCAAGTATTTGGTTACTAAATATTGATAAGAATATTAATCTTTTATAATTATTATCGAAACATGCTAAAGATTGTAAGCTAAAAGAGAAAAGGAGGTCAACTGTAGAATGACGGGAAAGGGAGCAATGATTTTTTAATGTCGAGAGACCTCGCGCGACACGACGTATTATAACCTCGTTTCAACGAAAGGGATGTTAATTAATCTTAAGAAGCAACTGTCTTCGTTAACGCGGCGTTACAAATGAGAAACTAGTTTCCAACTTTTTAAATTTATAATTAAGTCGGTTTCTTCATCTCATTTTTCACTTTTCATTTCAGAAATTTATATTTATTATATTATAATCATAATAAATAATATATTGTAATCATTAAATTTAAATATATTTTTACACATAAGATTTTATTATATTATTAATATTTATTTATATATTTTAAGTTAATCATGGAACTATATAACTTTTCATAGTTTCATTAAAATTAATGACATACGGAAGTGTGTCACATGTTTACAATTTATGAATCATAAATTACATGCAAAATTCGTTTTTCAGCTACTAATTTTATCAAGATAATAAAATTTTTCTTTTTAGTAATATTACCCATGGAAAACGATATTGTACGGTATATATTGGCGCAATATAACAAACAAGTTATAAATAAAAATTACATTATATACATCATTCTCAAAATTACAAACAAATCCGTTAAATATAATAAATAAATAAAATAAAATAAATTTTTAAAAGAATATTTACTGGAAAATCTGTATTAAATCTCTTAAACAATTTTAATAATTTCTGTACATTATTAGCTAATTATTAATTAATAAAAATTGTAATATATTATTTTATATTATTCTATGAATATTCTATATAATAAAAGAAGAAATTCCAGAAATACATTGATATATAAAAATATAATTATAAAACTCCTTCTGATCTAAAAATTTTATTACTATAATTTGATGAGTTCAAAAATGTTTCATTCTAAAAAATTTTCGTTTCTACATTGTAATTCATGTCTAATTTAATATCTAATTTTTCATGTCTAATCTATACTTAATTCCTACAAAGTAAATTTCATAGAAGATATAAGAAAATTTCAAAGTGCGAAGTATAGAATTCAAGTTCGTTCAGAATCCAAATAAACGAGAAAGGATTAACACGAAAATAGCTGTGAAGAATAAATTTTAACGAAAGGATAGGCATATAAAAGAATAGAAGAAATCGGCCCGAAACCAGCGACGAAAAGTTTAATAACCGCGCGTTAATGAACGGCAGCTGCAGTTCCGCGAATTGTGCTTGCAATCGTGCCCATTTCACACAAGCTGCATTCTTATGGGGTGAAAAGAACGGCCA